TCAAGTTTAAAGAATACAAGTTTATGACTTGTATCCAATCACATGATCTCCAAGAAAAATTCATCCATTCCATCACTTTATTCCAAATTTTAGCAGTAAACTGACACTCAAAGAATATGTGCCTAATTGTTTCAGGTTGGCATCTAGAACAGAGTACACACTGGTTTTGATTATTCTCCAAAATACCCAAACGGCATAACCTGTCCATTGTGAGAAGTCTGGAGTGGCAAGCTAACCATAGAACAAAAGAGTGTTTAGGATATTGATATCCTTTCCATATTGTGTCAAACCAGCCCACTGGAGGAGAACATTGAATTAAAGCATAGTACACAGAGGATAAATGAATTCTACCATTTGTGCAGCAGCCATACATGAATCTGTGCAGGTTTTCTTCATTTCCAAATTTTCCAAGCACCAAATTTCTGACTTTAAGAAGTTGCTTCCACATCCATGAATCATTCACTTTACTTTGAACTTGCCAAACATTCAGATATATAATAGTCATTAGGGTAAGTTACACAAAACACTCAAGAGCTATCAGCGTTTTGCAGCAAATCCCTAGTAACTTCTAAAATTGCACTAATCCAACATAGTAATTGGAATTGCAGAAACCCCCAATAAGCTTTTGTATTCTGCAAATAGCCCCCATGATGTTGTTAGTCCATGTTTTGTTGGCAACACATTTAAATCCTAAATGTCGTCATAAGGGTTATCTGCAAAATGCAAACACTTATAAATGTCTTCAGCAATTCCAATAGTTATTGGGGCTTAGTGTGATTTGAGAAGTTGTTAGGTGTTTGCTACAAAACACTCAAAGACATTCTCGTGGGTTTAGTGTAACTACGCCTAAGATTCGTACATCTATCTATGTTACTTCTATAAGTTTATATATATATATATATATATATATTATATATCATTAAAATATATATATATATATATAATATATATATAATATTAATATATATATATGAGGAATATGGATATGCTTGGTATCAAAGCACAAGAATTTGTGCTTGGTAGTGAGGTGGTATATATATAATATATATATATATAATATATATATATATATATACTATATATATATTAGAGAGAGAGAGAGAGAGAGAGAGAGAAATTGGAGAAACTTTGGTAGCCAAGTTGCCTGCCAAGCAACTTGGTAGTGATGTGGCATCATCTTGTCGCTACATCTACATTGGAGTTGGTGAAGGGTGGTTGAAGGCTCTAAACTTCAAGGTGTGATGTAAGGGGCAAGAATGAATCCAACATCACTACCAAGTTGCTTCGAGGCAACTTGGTACCCAATTTTTCCATTTTTTCTGCATATATATATATATATATATATATATATATATATATATATATATATATATATATATATTAATATATATATATATAATATATATATATATATATACTTATATATATAATATATATATGATTATATATAATATATTATATGCAAGGAATATGGATATGCTTGTATCAAGACAAAATTTATGCTTGTAGTGAGGTGGTATATATCTCTCCACTCATTCAAATGGGGGACCACATTTCCAGCAATAATGGCTTGAATGTGGTCCAACCAATTGAATGAGTGGATGGGAATAACACCCTCACTACCAAGCCAATAAAATTTATGCTTGGTAGCCAAGCATACCCCCATCTATATATATATAAGTATATATATAATATATATATATTATATATAGTATATATATATATATATATATAATATATATATATATATAGTATATATATAGAGAGAGAGAGAGAGAGAGAGAGAGAGAGAGAGATTAGGTGAAAACTTGTGTCAACCTAAAGTGGATAGGAAATAGTTGTAGGCCAACCAAACTTTATCCCATGTATGCTTGCCTAGTATCCTTGGGCATGATAATGAAAAGAGACTTTTTATATTAATAAATGAGTGGCTAAAAAGTTTAGGTGAGCAACTATTCGCTATCCACTTAAGTTGATAGGATCTTGCTATATATATATATATATAACACTGTAAGTTGATAGGAGTCCTGATATATATAATATATTATATATATATATATATATATATTAAATATATATATAGTATATATATATATATATATATATATAATATATTAATTTAATATATATATATACTATATAATAATATATATATAGGTTCTAATAAAAAACGATCCTTTGCCTAAAAACTAAAAATCTCCTTCCATCCAATGGGCCTAGGAATTCAGTCAAACAGTCAAAAGACACATGGCATTAATTACCATCATAAAACACATGCATTAATTACATCAACGGCATGGAATCTGGATTCACTGCAGTTGAATCTGTGATTCACTGCAAGTGATTCGAGATACGTTGAGGTAGTGAATCTGGATTCACTGCGTTTGAGGTAATTAATGAGGTAATTATGCATGTGTCTGTTGACTGTTTGACTGAATCCCACGCATTGGATTTCATACTAAAATCCAATGGATGAAGGCGGTTCTTATAATCCGCAAGCCATTGATTCCATCTAAATCCAATGGATGAAGGCGGTTTTATTAGAACCTCCCCATATATATATATATATATATATATAATATATATATATTATATATATATATATATATATATATATATATATAATAATATGAAATATGAGTATCCTTGGTACCAAGGCATAAAAAGTTGTATTTGGTAGTAAGGTGAGCATTAATCCGCTCAACTCATTCAAATGGTTGCATATCGCATCATGCACTCTATCAACACAATGTGACTATTGTCTCCATTTGAATAAGTGGAGGGGATTGTGCCATCCTCGCTACCCCAAGGCACAAAATTTATGCTATGGTACCTAAGCATACCCATATTTCTCATATATACTATATATAATATATATATATATATATATAAAATATAATATATATATATATATATAATATAATATATAATATATATATATATATATATATAATATATATATATATTATATATATATATGAGAAAAATGAGTATGCTGGCTTGGTACGCAAGCACAAATTTATTCGGCTTAGGTAGTGAGGTGTCTCATCCCATCCACATCATGCTTCAATTTGGGGGACTACATTCAACCGCATGGTGAAATGTGATCCCCCATTTTGAAGAATGGAGGATAATATGCTCACGCTTACTACCACACAATTTTGTGGCTTGGTACCAAAGCAGACCCATATTCCTCTCTCCTCTCTGCTGCTCTCTTCGTCTCTACTACTCCTCTATATAATAATATATATATATATATTATATATTTATATAAAATAATATATATATATATATATATATATATATATATATATATATATATATATATAAAGAGAGAGAGAAGAGAGAAGAAATAATGGAGGTGAGGCCTTGGCAGCTGACCGCTCACCCGTGAGCTGCAGTAATATGACATGTGAGCCGCACACTCAGATGTGACTAGTAGGGTGGGCTCACATGTCATACACTTGGCAGGCTCACGGGAAGAGTGAGCTTGGCAGCTCACCTCCATTATTCTCAATATATAATATACATATATATATAATATATATATACTATATAATATATATATATATATATATATATATATATATATATAGAGAGAGAGAGAGAGAGAGAGAGAGATTGAGTATGCTGTGTACCAGCACAAAAAGTTGTGCTTTGTAGTGAGTGGCATAATCCCCTCTACTCATTAAATTGGTTGCATAATTCCATACACTCCTCAACCATGTAAAATGTGGTACCGAAGCATACTTTTTATGCTTGGTACCACAATACTCATCTCTTGCTCTCTGCTCTCTCTCTCTCTCTCTGCTCTCTTCTCTCTATATATATATATATATATATACTATATAATATATATATATATATATATATATATATCTATATAATATATAATATACATATATATATATATATATATTCTGTGTTTAAAGTAAGAAAAATTATATCCTCATGTTACCACGAGAAACTAAAAAATGCAAATAAAATAAAAAAAAATATTTTATTTATATCCACTAATGATCAACAAAAGTATTATATGAAATTAAAGCTTAATTTCATTCTTTTATTAAAGTGAAAAATGCAATAGTAGTTTTCAAATACATGAAAGATATACATATTTTTTAATAAATACTTATCGCTTTGGTGTGCACATACAATATTTCACTAGAAATCTTACAAACACACATTAAAGGATCATAATATAATTAATATGTAGGACCTCAAATCATTTATATAGAAATTTAATTTTAGCCAATATGCTAGTCCCAATAAACAACCTAAATTATTTTATTTATTTTTATGATTTATTCCATTTCTAGATTTTTGTTTTTACAGAAATTGGGAGGAAAAAAGAGAGTATCAAAGAAAAACTATTTTAAGATCTTTTGTTTTAAATTTTCAAAAACATAATCCACTCAAGTTTAATTATTTATTTTCTTCAAACAAAACAAAATTTACCTAACACTTTCTTTTCATTTTCCATTTTGGATTTTCCCCTAGAAACCACCTTTAAAACATGGTATTTATAAGAAATTATCTTTCCGTTTCAATTTATACATAAAACCTTCTTTAAAGTGCGTTTTTGCTGCAACCAATCACCTTCTAGTTGAAATTTTCACTAGCAATCCAAATTCACCGTTAAAAAATTTACATTCAATCCATATGACCCATTTTTTTAATGTTTAAGTCTTGTTCAGATGCAACTCACACACCTTGAACTAAACATCTTTAAGCTTAATTTATGTTTTTTAGTAAGAATTTGATTAGAAGATGATTGGTTGTAATAAAAACCCACCTTAAAGATGGTTTAAGCATCAGTAAGCTCCTATCAAGTGATCCATATGTGCAGGGACTGCCTATTCTTGGATTACGGCAATCAAAGACCTCGAGATTAGCACACTAATCTAAAAGATATTCTTCCCTTAATAGTTTATTGTATAGAGCTTGCAAAGAGAACGCTGCAGTTAAATCATGGCAATAGTCGAGACTCGAGACATTTCAATACCAATGAAAATTATTCACCTTCACACTTCTGAATGCAAGTTTTAAGTGCGCCAAACACTTGATGATACAATATATGAATAAATCTCCGAACGATTAAATCCCATGTTAATTCACAATTAATAACAGCTAAGTCTTTATTATCCAAATATCCTATTAATGGATATTGGAAAGTGATTTCTAAACAAAACGTCTGAGATATTCCTCTGCAGTTACATATTCATAATCTGGATAGAGCTTGCTACTGTCAACTCCATGAGGCCCCTCCACTTCAAACTCCAAATCACCGCAATAGAATATTTGGTACAAATGACCCACAGCTATTTGTTCAAATAGTGGCACCTCTGCATCCATAAATTATACCAGTTGTTAGAATTACTTGCTAAGTAGACAAATTTACAAAGTACCTAAGTTAGTTAATAGGATAAGTTTTAGATCCAACAAACTTCCGAGAATGGAAGTGCAATATTTACTCCTTGTATTAACATATGTTGTAAGAAATTAGTTCCAAATATATTTATATTTTTGGGTTTGCTTCGTGCAATATTTATTAGATGTGGTTAATTAAAGAACATAAATATATGATGTGACAATGACTTAGGTGCAAAGTTTGAAATAAAAATATTCAATTTGCGCCTGAGTCAGCACCTAATTTTGTTTACCCAAAAAAAAAGGAAGAAAAAATTTCTCACTAATTTATCTCAAGAATAGTTCCTAAATAACTTCATAATTTGTCAATAAAGGAGGAAGTCACGTAAAAAAAATACTGGTAATAAACCCATATTTGCTGTAGATGATTAATTGATTTAATTCTCTGTAGAAGAATCAAAATGCTCCCAACTACAGTTGTTAATAATAAATTTTAACTCTATCCACAATTTTCGATCAAATTATCTACCAAAAATTGAAAATATAAAATAAACTATAAAAAATGTTGTTGCAATAAGCAATGATTTTATTAGGGAGAAAAACATGAAGAAAATTGTAAAGTCACATTATTCTACTTACTATCCATCATGGAAAGCCATTCCTCTGGCGAGATGAATTTCTTCTTCAATTTCTTGCCGATATGCTTCTCCCATATCTTCACAATCTCCATGTGGCTCAATATATTCGTTGGAGGACGAATATAGAGGACCTTATTCAATGTTCGAGAGTCATCGATGGCCATCATCGTGTACATTGCAGCATCTTTTTCGTCGACAAATATACCTACCAAGCATAAAACCACATGCATCACGATTTGAATTCAAGGTAAATTCCATATACATCTTCTTTACTATTAGGGTGTGCCTCTTGTAACTCCTAACGCACTCCTTGAATCTCAAACACTGCCTCCATTAGGTTAAGGTGTCATGTAGAAAATCACGTTACAGACAAATTATTATTATTACTACTACTATTATTATTTTGTAATTTAACTTGAAATAACTAATTGCTCTCTAAATCATGGGGAAAATTTTTATGGTCACATGACATCTCATACCAGATAACGTAAGTGGCTATGTTCTTATAGGGTGAATTGCACATATGCCGCATATATAATATCGCGTTGTGCCATTTATTGTCCTTCAAGTTTGATATGGGTAAATGTACCCTGTAACATCCATACACCTTCATTTCTGAGTTTAGATGTAAAGGACATTCAATTATCAGGAGGTCTTCCATCTATACAAACTCAATGTATAATATAGGGAACGCAACGCGATACAACTAGAGGTCTATGTGCAATTATCCCGTTTTTATAAAAACACAGAGTTTAATTGGATAACTCGATCTTGAATTTTATTGTATCATACATATCGGCATGTGAAGGACTAACATTTCTTATCTCCTTGGCCGTAGATGTAGACATGATCTCTAGGAGGCATGAAGGTGGCTAGCTGAGATAAACCAGCGAGGAAAATCCCAGCAAAACAATTTGGAGAGATGTAAGTGAAAGGGATCTTGGCTTCTTCAACTGCTCGACGAACTTTGCGCTTATCGATGAACATCAGATTTCCAGGATGAATTGCGTGCTCCATTCGATCCACATCCATTCCAAACTCAGATGGAAGGTACCTCTTAAATTCCAAAATATTTGTCAAGTTCAGTCAAATAGTACTGAGTAAATTACCAACAATATTAATCTTCCTGTTGGCTGCAGGATTCAAAATCTCTGATAGCTGGTTCACTTTTCTTGAAATTGAAATGGAGAGTTAATTGCATACGAACTCTAAAGCATCGAACTCTGGAACTTAATACGATGTGGTTTGAGTATGCTAGGTAGACTCCTTGGATGATTTTATTTTTATTTTTTTTATTCTTTTACTCCGAAGGAGGTGTTACTTGATCTTAATTTCCCGGATAAAAGAGGGTGCAAGAGTCAAAAAAAAGTTCCATTAGGTGTCTATTTGCCAAAATCAAACTATTAGGTTTAAGAAGTTCTAAAGCGCGATAATACGAGTCTATGTGCAAGTAAACTCAGAAAGTGGACCCTATAAGATACAACAATTATTTGTACTTCCAAGTATTAACTTTTGTACTGAAAATTGATGATTATTGCACTGGAATTAATCTGATGATAATAAAAGACCATTTTTCCAAATTAACTTAAGAGAGCTCTCCACAATTTCCACAAACCTACAAATTATAGGAAGATTTTCAATCTTGAAAATTAATTATAAAAAAAAGAGAACAATATTTTTTTCCCCCTCTTCCGGTGTAGATATTACTTGCCTTAATAGTGCCAACCTCCTTAATAGCCTCAATAAGCTTCAGTTGCTCAAGAATACAATCACTTGCAACCGACGACACCACCACATCAACAAGTTTCAATGCGGAAACCAAGCTAGCATGATCATCAAAAGAACCCTACAAGACCAAACACAAACACAGATGATCATAAGCCGAAACGCTCAGGCACATTACAGTCTAGTTTGTGGCTAGATTACTTGAATGAGTTGAGCTCCACCCATCTTGAATGTCATCAACATTTGGCACTTATCCAAGTTTGAGACCGTCTCTTTTCGATAGAGAATAAACGTAGGGTGGCCGAGAGCAAGGCTAGCCTTCACTAGCCTTCGACCGATATAGCCGGTTGCTCCGATGATCAGAACCCTGTCTTTCTCCATCTGCTTCCGATCGACTCTCTCTTCAGCCAAAGTTTTCTGTGTATTTGTTAAGGCTAGAGCTCGGCTGCTTCAAGGGGCAAAGAGGCGAAATTAAGCTTTTAATATTTTATTAGATGTGATGGATGAGTGGTTAGATGAAAATAATATTTTATTAGATGATGTGGATGAGTTGTTGGATGAAAATAATATTTTATTAGATGTTGTGGGTGAGTTTTAGGGATGGAAATGGAGGAAATAGTTTTTATTAGATGTTGTGGGTGAGTTTTAGGGATGGAAATGGAGGAAATAGTACTTTTTGAGATTTTCACATTTTCCATTTCTATTTCTTGGTTTTTAGGAAATAACCGAACAGACCCTTATTGCGGTGCAACATCAAATATCAAATACAAGATTCGTGAAATTGCTTCTGGAGGTCGCTTGGACAGATGTCGTCGTTTGATTGCTACTGTAAAAAAGTAGGTCGATGTGCCGCTTCTTGAAATATTTGTCAAGAGTAAATATCAGGAACCCCCCTTAACTTTGGACAGTTATCGGATAAGCCTTGTATCTCTCAAATATGAGAGCCAACAAAGTTTAAGGGTTATCAAAAAGATCCCTTTAGCTTTAGGGAGTGTTTGGTTCAATTTCTACATATTATAGAAAAAAAATTTCACCAAAAATATGATTTCCTTGTATTTCTTAAAAAAATTATAGGAAAAGTTTTGAGAAGTCAAAAAGCACCAATTTTCTTGTTTTTTGAATTTTGCTTGTTTGGTTCAAAACAAGTAAATGACCCATAATTTTATAAAAAAATAGCAAGACTTCCTATTATTTGTAGAAATTAAACCAAACACCCTTTAAATTTATAGAAAAGTGTCAACTTTATAGATAAATATCAATGGGATGTCAGATTTCTGAGTGATTCCGCCCATTTTGAGAGAAATTTGATTTCTGTAAATTTTGGTATTTTTCTATACTTTACAGAAAATATTTCTGTAAATTTTTTGAACCAAACACAGTTTACGAAAATCTACAGAAAATTTTTAATTATAGAAATGTCATTGTCAGTCCTTTTGAGAAAACTTTTCTATAAAATTGTTGAGCCAAACACCCCCTAAGATTAACAAAAAAAATCTACTCCGTTAACTACAATTTCACATGGATGGGTAAAACGATGGGGGGTATTTTTACCAGAGAGCATGCTTTTAGGTGTTTTCTGAAAAAACTTAATGTTAACGGGTTTTCTATGTTAACCCCTAAACTTAAGGAGAGTTTTTTATAATCATCCAAAGTTTGGGTGGGGTGGGGGTGGTTGGGCTTTTTTTTCTTTTGGGTTGTTTCGTGGGCCCAATCTCCAGCTACTAAGGTCTCGCTCTGACTTGCTTTTTCACCCGGAAAAGGCAGTGGATGAAAGAAAGATGAAAGAAAGGTGAATAAGTTGGGGTGGGGTGGGGCCGTGGGGGGTAGTTGGTTTGGGGTGGTTGTTCTGAATTTAACCTATTAATAACATCATTAGCTCTGTACATTAGGCTGCACTCACTTCTCTCTTTTTTCTTTTCCCCACCGACAACCAATTATAATTGTTCATTAAATATAAAAAATGATCATAATTGTAAAATGTTCTTTGCTGTTTAATTGTAACAGCTTGGACATGATTGAAGAAGTAAAATTTATACTATCTAAAGCCGTGCCGACAAGTTCTAAATCCAACAAAAGTAAAGTTGGAATGACATTCATGTAGTTTGAAATGGATATCCCAATAAAGGCATAGAGCCATAGAGATATTGTCCCAATTTTGTGATGGCCCCAAAAAGATAGTCCCAATCAGCTAGTGGGAAAAAAAAATATTTGGTTTTTAATGTAAAGCCCTCATAGCCGAGTACAGCTTGCCATACTTGGAAAAGAAATGATAGAGACACGCTCTAAGGCACACCACCAACCACACTCCCTCTCTCTACAGTGCAAGGGGCCCCACATGTGATTTTTTTTAAAAAAATCACATGTGGAGCCCCCTACACTGGAGAGAGAGAGGGAGTGTGGTGGGTAGTGTGCATTGGAGTGTAACTGTAACGCCTCTCTATTTGGAAGCGCCAATGGACTCGTGGGCCCAGAGTATGATGTAGCTGGGAGACAAAAAACAAACGGATACATTATTAAATAATATGAATCCAAATCAGGTCATTTACTCATATTTTGACGGATGAGTGAAAGTACAGAATGCGTTGGCTACTGCATCTCCATTACGTGCGCTATTCCCTAGGCACCAAGAAGATGATGAAAGGGCGCATGTAGGGGTCACGCTGGAGCCCGTGGATCGTGTCGGGTTGAGTGACCTGCACCCAAGACTTGATCGAGTGTTAACAGAGCGCACCGACTGGTGTCGGACAGGGGTCGGGGGAGCACCGGTCGGCCAAAACACCAAATAAATCCAGTCTGGCCTTTCGTTGCTTTTCCGGTTTATTTTTTCTTTATCTTTATTATTATTATTATTTTCCTTTCTGAAATTCAGTTGAATTTGATCGCTTCGCTCCTCCGTCCGTCTTATAATCTCCGGATCTTGCAGTGAGTGTGTACGCCGTGTCATTTAGACCTTCCGTACCCACCTTCTCGCAATAACGCAACTACAACCGCACGCGATAACAGTTCTAGAAACTCTAGTTAAGTACACACAATTTTAACGAACCAAAAAACCATTATTTAAGGTAAACGAGTTTAAGACGCCAAACAGAGGGATTAATGGAATTATTTCAATATGTGAAAGGCATCATAATCTCTACCCTATTTACACTCGGTCTTCATTTCCTCACCGCAAGAATCAGTCACAAAACATCCACTTTCCATCCCTAGCATCACAAAAGGTGTTACTGAGAGGGAAAACAAAACTACAGATGCACATCTTGGTACATAAATAGAAATCAGAATAAATTCAATCAAAGATGCGGAAATCTCCACAGGAAGAACATAGACCTCTGCATTTACGAAAACCAAATTTCTATATTCATAACAAATGCAACAATCGTCAAAAGAAAAAATTACCCCAATCAGAAAATAGCTTGCCAGTATCGGAGCGGGCCAAGAAACCATTTAACCAAGCAAATTTCTTTAAATATGCAAACCTGCTTTATAAATAAGCACCATGACTGGCCTTAAAAAGTCACAACACCATTTCAAGTAAAATCACAGAGAACTATCATGGGATATGAGATCATACAACGCATATTAACCAAACACCAGACCCTCTCACATAACTCAGATGATATTGAAGAATTGATACTATTCATTTCAAGCAGAGCAAAGATCAAACCAAACCCAAACAGAAAAAAGGGACTTCACCAAACCTAGAAGTTCTGTTCGAGGAGATAATCACCGAGCCTCTCGACAATCATATTGCACTGTCCAGGAGTCATTGGCTCATCATAAATTCCAACGATCAAAGCCATACTAGTTTTCTTAACAGTAACACCACCAGAGCCCTAAAAAACAAACAAGCAAACAACGATTAAGTACACACCATCAGTTACTTTTGGTAGACCATAATAGTCCATGAATAGTTTCTGTTTTGTTTTCATAACGAAAAGGTTGCAGGTGAATAAAGATAAGTAGACTGATTTACCTTCTTTCCTCGAATAACAGCCCCAGGTTCACCTTGGATAACCATGTATTTTGTACCGCCAAGGAATAACCCTGTTGGTGCAAGAGATCCAGGCTCCTCAAAGTCATTCATGATAGCACTAATTTCCTCAGGCTTGAACTATAAAGATAAAAAGGAAAATAAATATTAGAAACATGTCCATAATTTGCTTGGAAGATATGCCAGCAAAGAATGACGAAAAAATGTTACTACTGCACGGCAGAATACCACATCTACATTCTCTCAAGTTTAAAGTTTTTACTTGAGAGAAAACCCACAAAAGAGAGTTAACATAACATCAAACAAGGTGACATAAAAGCAAGGCTATCACTGATTCCACCAGAAAATGACTACCAAACAAAACTATACTCTTACTGGAGACATATACTCTGTTAGCTTTCAGGTAGTCATTTTGTTTGGTAGTCATTTTCTGGTGGAATATGTCTACCAAACAAAATGGTAGTCATTTTGTTTGGTATCTGATGTATTGTAAAAGAGGTATGAAACAAGAAACATGCAGAGCAATTTACCTAGAAGGACTCACATTCTTATAAAAATCAAACACAACTAACAAAACAGTGGAGGAATAAGAATCACTGCTACATACCTCTTTTACAATACATCAGATACCATGAACCTGGTAGGTATGAATAATGAGATCTTTACTGTTAGCTTTCAGGCCTATCAAAAGGAACTTCCTTTCCACCACAGTTTAGGTTTATATAATTTCAACAGATTATCATCTTGCAAAACATGCCAAAGGATGCATCGGTAAACATTAACTAGAGCAATTGCCCAGCATAGTAGAATGACTCCCTTTAACTAACATGTGGATCTCATGCACATCAGACTTTATTATTGCAATGTTTTGCCTCTAGTTGAACAACCCAACTTCTATGAGATTTCAAATATCATAATGGATAGAGTAAACTTCACTGTTCACCTCTATTTATACAATTCAACTTCGATGAGATTACAAATATTATAATGTATAGTCTAAACTTTACTGTTTACTTAGCTTATGTTATGAGAGGCTAAGTCTTATATTACTAGTAGTTTAGTCCCACAATTGATGTGGGATAAGCTTTGTATCTATGAATATACCATATAAATAAGATAGTAAAGAGGAGAGACATTCAATTCTCTAACTTCTTTGATGACCATATCTAACATGGTATCAGAGCCATCTTTAAAAAATTTTGCCACCTAAGAACCCTAGCCCCCTAATCCCTACCACCACTCTCTCCAACTCTACTCCCCACCACAAACCCTGTTAGTCACCAGTCCCCCTCTCAAGCCCTAGTCACCGCCCTCTTCAACTTTGACCACCCCAAAACCGTAGCAAATGCTCCCCTCCACAACTATGGCCACACATGCATTTAGGGTTTGATGGCGTGGGGGAAAGTTTCTGTAAGGGGAATAGGGTTTTTATATGGCTAGGGATAGGTGAAATTCTTAAAGATGACTCTGATACTATGTTAGACAAGGTAATAAAAAAGGTTAGAGAGTTGGATTTCTCCCTCCTCTGGTATCTTATTGTAATTAACTCAACGATACAAAAGTTATCGCACAAAAATTGTAGGACTAAACGAATACCCATATACTAAGACTTATCTAATAGCTTGCACATCTTTTACTGATTTAGACCACGTGCACATGATCTAGTTTAATTTATTCAATCTCACATTTGCAGATAATCTTATTGGTTGTTAACCACCAGCAACAAACAAAGATGAGCAATGTATAGACAATTCCAGATGCATCATTGCCAATCTCATCCATTGATCACCACTTCTGGATCAGTTTTTTTTTTTTTTGGTTAAAGCTCAAAATCATCAGACATCCACTCTGTTCACCACCAAACCAAAACTACAAAAAAACATATAGAATCAACCTGCAAAGCTCAACTTTTCTTACACAGCAGCACTTTAAGCAGGTCCACCTTCAGAATGCTTTGATAACTCACTTTTTCCATTGATAACAACACTGACAAGAAAGTCAGTCTACCCACAAATATTTGTAGCAGCTCATGAGTACACACTAAAGCAGCCTCTTCTAAACCACATCTTTAAGAGAAAGTCCAATACTAACACAAAAAAATCAGCACATTATAGTGCTAAAGTTCAGGAATTAAAGTTCATTTTCCTCCTTTTTTTCCAAGTTTACAGGTATGAACTATGAAATCAACATTTGAAAATTTGAAGATGATGGTCATTGAAGGACAAGGAATGAAGTAACATTTCAAATATCTATCTAAAGCCATGTTGCTATATAAACATGCAAAACATGGTGCCATGTACATAGAACAGGTGAATAAAAGCGAAACACGTAGCATGGGCACAGGGAAATTGTAGGCTGAGCAGCACCGACAGCACATAAATTTCTAAGTTATAACAGTTGAGTTTATCTTCTTCCTTTTTTAATGTAAAGTATCCTTTTAGAGGATCTCTCAAACTCTGGATAATACCTTTTAACACAAGTTTGATGGCATCATAATCGTTTGGATCTATGCTTGCAACTCTCCTAGGGTATGTTCTTCTATTTACAGGATAATGGATGGCTTTTTAAGGCTACACTAGCCCTCCATTCATTTATTTGTTGGCTAAACTATCAAATTGGTATTCTAAGTTGACCTCATTTTCTAATACGGTATTCATTTGGGCTCAAGTGTCATTTAGCCATTTTAACTCAACCTTTCCAGCAATAAGGCTCTTTTTCTTACCAATGAATAAGGCCCTTTTTCTTACCAATGATGAGAATTCTGGCGAATAATAAATTTTTTAAGGAAAAATTTCTCCATCCCCCTGACCTCTCCAAATTATTAAATCTACACCCTCCTCCTCCTTCAATCTCCACAAGTTCAAATTCATTCCATCCCTTTACCAAATAAGACCCTCCATCAATAGAACTCCCTCTTTCTCCTTCAATCTCCCCATCATATCAGGTTGGATGAAGGTTGTTGGGGTTGGATTAGGGTTTGAGTTTTAATTGGGGGAGGTTAAGGAGGGGGTCCATTGATGAGGGAAAAACAGTGGGTGGAGGGTCTTATTGGATAAAGGGACGGATAAAATTTGAATCCATGAAGGTCGAAGGAGAAGGAGGATGTAACTTAATAATTTTGAGACGTCAGGGGGATGAGAGAAATTTCCCCAAAAAAAAATAGTTCGTCAAAATTCTCGCCACCGGTGACAAAGAAGTGTCTTATCGCTAAAAAGACCAAGTTAAAATGTCCAAATGACGTCAGAGCCCAAATGAAAACAATATTGGAAAATAAGGGCAACTTAGAGTACCGATCTGGTAGCTTAGCCTTTATTTGTTGTACCCTTGTCCTATCTCATCATTACTCATCATCACCAGAATAGGTCAAACAAACATTAGAAGACTACTTTACGTCTTGCTAATGAGTAATCACTTGATTCACTCAGCTTTCCTAAGAAACATGTGCTTGCTACTGTAGGATACCTTGGAAACTATTAATCGAATTTCCAGCATAGCAATTAGCAAAACATCTTCATGCGAAACTAATACCAAAAGTTCATTTAAGTAAGTCATTCCGAAATCGAAGCAAACGAAAATACCCATATTGCCTGCACTGTTCTAGTGAAGCACAATAGGGCGTATGTTTGGTGTCAAACTAATGAAAAATCCATTTCAACTTTCTAATTGACTACACACCGTGTAATATTAATTTTTTAATAAAGAGTGCAAATGTCACCACTTGATCAACCTTCCCTTGGCTCTTGCACAGATCCCATCTCAGTTATATTACATCCAATAAGAAGATTCAATAGCATACTCTTGGTCAGGAAGATGGTTAGTCAATAGTCATAAAAGGGTTTTAATCATTGATCGAGCATACTCCTTTGCTCGTTATTGGTAATGTGTCATAATTTTTTTACGCAAGAGGCTTCACAATGACGACAATTAGTTAAGAATGTGCTATATCTAACTATTGAAGCTTAAGTTTAAGGGATTGCCACTTTTCCGTGCCACAACAATTGCACACGAAGTTTGACCAAAGTTTTTCCAGTAATAATTAAGCTCACAATGAACTTCTTTAAAATCATAATTCAACTCGAAGTTCAACTAAGCAGATTTTCAAGTCATAATTAACAGTTTTCTCTGAATCATTCAGTTAATGTCCCAACAACCCATGTGCAACTTTTCTAAATTAAAAAAATATTTTAAACCCCTTATGTTTCAATTCATCTTTCTTGATTTTTCAACCTAACTTCAGACCATGGATTTAGTTCAAATCATATGTAATCTTGTCTTTCTGTCTAGGCTCCGACCTAAGCACCTCTAAACCAATGTGACATCTTACGTAATTGCTAGACTTCTTTTACAAGATTTCTAGTATGATGTTGAGAAGTGGCATAACTCTTACAGTCTTACTTATATAATAACTATTTAGAATTGAGATAATCATTGATAATTAAATTGGTTTTAAAAAAATTTCAGGGAGTAACTAGATCAAGAAAAGTTTGCGAGTTTGAATATCCCCATTTGCAGCAAATGAGGGAATTATTAAGACAGCTTTTTTTTGCTTCCCGATAGTTCAAATCTAATCCAAAAAAGCAAGAGATCAACTTAAAGTCCACATTTTTTACTTACTATCTGGACTTCTTCAGAATTACTCTGTTCACATTCAAATTGGTTTACTTGATCACTAATTATTGCTCATTTACTTAAAGATCAATACCTTCACCAAGCATGCGTGTAAATAAATCAAGAAATCAATCACAACTCATGTGCATCTTTCATCTCAAAATATTAAACCAGATCTAATACCAAAAAAAGGGTTAAAATTCACACAACAAATCCACATAAAATCAATCACAGAGGGCACTAAAAAAATACTGCCCACCTAATCAATTAATCAACAAAAAATCCAAAAAAAGAAGAGGAAAAAGAGAGATGATTACTTGAGGGAAGTTCTCGCTCTGGGCCCAGACGCTGCCGTCGTGGCCGAGGATGGCGGCGCGATCTCGCACATCAGGTGATCGTCGATGTACGATTGCCACGACATCTTCTCTCTCCTCTCTCTCTCTCTCTCGGGTTACAGCTGTGGTTGGCTATAAAAATAGAAAATAATAGCGTCAAATCGCGACTTGGAATAATTTCGCTCTCTCAAGTGGTGGTAGCGGATTCTAGTCCACCGACCCTGTGGAATAAAACCATATTTAATAAATGCCCTTGGCGTCCGGGAATTCTCAATATTTTTCCGTTATTTAATTGATTTATAAATAAAAATTCCCTTCGAGTTGGTATCATTTACGAAATGTCCCTGGTTGAGATTTTGCGAGTGAAGACATTTTCAAATTAAACTCATTCCCAATTTTATTCCCCAAATTCGATCCACTTTAAACTTTATTACAAATATTAACTCACTTTCTCGTCACGTCAGCATCGTAACCAGAAAGTGATCGTGGTCAGAAAGTAAGTCGGTTTTTTTAATCGCGTTCCTAATTAGCCGGGGTCGGCGACCCCGACTAATTAGGAGCTCGCCTACTACGCAGCTGTAGTTTGACAGCAAAATTAGTCGGGGTTCGAAAACCCGACTAATTTAGCCGTTGCATTAATAGTCGGAGTTGGGAACCCCGACCATTTTGAAATGCCTAATTCAAAATGGTCAGGGTTCCTAACCCCGACCATTTAGGTCATGTGCTTATTGAGCTCGGCAAGCAGCGTTCCTAGGGTTAACATCAGCCTCGGCCATCAACATCTCCAACCTCTTCTCCTTCCTCCACAACGGTCACCACCTCATCCACTCGGATCCCATCACCCAATCAAACCCTCTCCTAACCCTCTCCCAAGCCCCAATCAAGAACACCACCAGCGGCTCTCCTTATGTTTACCACCAGCCTCCTCGGCCGACGAGATCTCTACCGGATCTTGATTGGAGAAGTTTTAAGAGAGAGAGAGCAGGGAGAAGAGGAGAAGGAGAGGCGGCGATGAGGGCGGGAAAAGAGAGGGTCGGGTTGGGGGAATGGGAGGGTTTGGGAGGGGAGAAGGGGGAGAGGGGAGGGCAACAGAGGAGAGATGCTTGGAGATCGGGCATGGCGACTGGGATCTGAGAGATCGATGGAAGATTTTGACGATTGGTTTAGGGATTTAGAATGTAAACCCTCGAAAAAAAACAAAGCGAGGAAGGCCTTTATCTGGATTGGATAAAACGAATGGGCTAAATTAGTCTGGGTTTCGAACCCCAACTAATTTAGCTGCCAAACTATAGCTGCGTGGCGGGAGAGCTCCTTATTAGTCGGGGTTGGCAATCCCGACTAATTAGGAACGCGATTAAAAAAAATCGACCATCTTTTTTGTCACGATGCTGACGTGGCGAGAAAATAAGTCGATTTTCGTAATAAAATTTGAAGTGGGTCGAATTTTAGGAATGAAATTAGGAATGAGTTTAATTTGAAATTTTCTTCTTTTGCAAGTTGAATGTGGGGATAGTCGTCTGACTAAGGGGGCATTTGGTTCACTAGTTTTATAGAAAACTTAATAGAAAAAGATTCATAGTGAAAGTTTTGTAAATAATTTTTTTTGTAGATTTCTATAAATTATGTTTGGCTCAAAAAATTTATAGAAAAATTTTCTATAAAGTAGAGGAAAGTATCACATTTTATAGAAATCAAGTTCCACTCAAAATGGGCTGAAATCATCTAAAAAACTAACAACCTTATTATTAAACTAATAAAATCATGCATATACCCAATTTTCGACATTTCTCGTGGCCGCAAATTCACGAAAATTTTCTAGGGTTTCCTCTCTCGTTCCCGTCCCCAGACCCCATATCCCTCTTCGATTTTTAGCACATTTGCCTCACATCCTCCTCACCTGTTGACGCCATTCACCAACGAGCCTTAAGTTTGTCAGGCTTCTTGCTGTGTCGGTTGGTTTAGCAATTGGTTTAGGAAATTTAGTCTAAATCGGTGTTTTCGCGGTTGATCTTCCGAGCTATTGAGGTATAAAAATAAGCTCCTAAACCTTATTGATTTTTTGAGCTGTTGCGGTTGATTTTTCCACTATTTTTTATGTTTTGATTTTCTGAGCTATTGTGGTTGATTTTCCAATCTTAATTAATGGTTGATTTTACTACTATTGTGGTTTGATTAACGGTTGATTTCATCAATCAATTGACCAATTAATACAATGAAAAAAACTATTGGTTGATGTTAACCTGATTGTGACAAAATGAGTCTATTAATTGTTGGATGAGAAAATTATAGCTTGATATCTTTCATTTGTTTGATAACTCCACTATATATTTATCCCTTGTTGGATTCTATATTTTGTGGAAAAAGTTGTTTTCAGTCTTAACATAAGGTTAAGTTTATGCTAGCCTAACACTTGGAAGCTAATTCTTTCTAGTTTTATTATAATGATTCTTTAATTAAGTGATTTAAACCGATCATATGCAAACATCGCCATCATTAATTCAATCCTATGCATGTCTATGTTGTACAAAATCATTTATTAATATTGCTTACATATATTAGAAGGAGCCCTTTTTCATTTAGCGTCATTTTTCATGGTTGCATAAACGTCTTAAGCTTTATTTTCTTTATAATTAATGTAGATGGATGGTGTAGATGAAGAACAAATAAAGAGGATGTGTGCTAATACAAGTATATCTTCCGTGGTTACAATAATATCTTGTTTATTGAGAATGTGCGCTAGGCGTAAATCAATTTGTAATGCTCCAAGAGAGGATAAGATGAGGAATTTTTTTTGTAGAAATGCCCACTTCAAGCGTGTCTTTGAAGGATATAGTAATAGTTGTAGTTCTTATATTAGAATGAGGTCTAAAGTTTTTTTCAAACTTGTAGATATAATGCGAAATAATGGTTTTTTAAAGGTCACAATACACCTTCAAGTTGAAGAACAACTCGCTATGTTTCTTGGCATAGTGGGTCATAAAATCAAAAATAGAGTAATAAGGACCAAATTCATAAGATCGAGTGAAACCATTAGTATGTACTTTAATAAAACCCTACAATCTATGAATAGTCTTCATGATCGATACATGAAGTAAGCACCAAATGAGATTCCACCGGAGATTGCCAACAATTCAAACTATTTCACTTACTTCAAGGTAAGAGAGAAATAAATTATTTGAGTTAGTGATTTACATAATTTAATAATATGAGAAACTAATATTTTGAATCATTGTCGAGTTTTGATAAGATTGCATTGGTATAATAGATAGAACACATATTGATGCAATATTACCCTCTAACCTAGTTGCACACTTTAGAGGGCGTAAAGGTGTAATGCAAAATATTTAGCTATGTGCACCCCAAATAAACTTTTCACATGTGCCTATTTGGATGGGAAGGTGCGACAAATGACTATAGGATTTTGCAAGACGTATCGTCTAGACTACAACCTTACGGATTGAGAGTATACGATGGTATTCTTCTACCTCATTTAATAAATAGTCAACTTTATAATATGATCGAATTAATCACGAATTTTTTCTATAATGTAGGCAAATATTATCTTTGTGACGCTGGATACACTACCATGCCTGGCTTCATCTCTCCATCTCGTGGTGTACATTATCATTTAAAGGAATAAATTGGTCAGACACTCGAAAATAGTAGAGAGTTATTCAATTTAATACACTCTTCTTTACGGTCTAAAATTAAATCAATCTTTGGTACATTAAAAAATCGGTTCACAATTCTTTCGGCAAAATCTAATTATCCATTCCCCACACAAAGTGGACATCGTATTAGCATGTACTATATTGCATAACTTTATTGTAATTGAAGATCCACAAGATGACATTTTGAATAAGAATGTAGTAATTGATGAGGAGAATGAGGAGGTGACAAATAAAGATGATACAAACGTAATTGACTTCACTCAATGTAGGACACAAAGAGAGGATCATGATGCAAGAAATGAATGGAATGACCTTAGGGACCAAATTGTGGCAATGTGGATTGGTTATTGTGCAAAATATGAAGATGGTGACACCACAGAAATCGGCTTGTAGTTTTATTATTTTTGCATTATTTAGACTATATTTTTGTATTTCATAATTGTGCTTGTATTGACAATGTAATTTTTCATCTCTTACTTGCAACTATGTAATTTTGAATTGACTATCTTAGATTGTTCTACATATTTAATTATGTATTTTATGATATGAATGCTTTTATCAACATAAGTGGTACGGGGTGGGATGAGAAAAACTATATGGTAATCCTAGATGATGAGACACTTAAAACATGGGCTCAAGTTTTAATTCTACCATAACAATGAATTTAATTTAATTGGACGTGAGAAAGTTATAATTAATTTCACACAAGATTTTTCACATATTGCAAGACAAAAGTAACTAAGCTAAGAGGATACATAAACAAGTCTCTTTGTCACGCCCCAGTACCAAAATAAAATATTTTAGGACGTGACTCGGCCGGCAATGCAACCATTCGGTCACATTCACGCCTCTGAATTATCCTGTATACAGATACATTGCCTACAAGAACTACTACATAGAGCATGTAACTAAGATAACCAAGGGAAATTGATAGATAAAGAAATCAGAACAAGACAAAGTTCTCTTACATGTCCTCAACTTCTAAAATAGGAAAGAGGATCGATACATTATAGTCTGAAATGCCAAAGTTTATTTCATGACAAGTCTCATAACGATGTAACTACCTAATACAAGGGAAGTAGAGAATTGATATAACAACAAGTGATCACTGTTGCTGAGCCTGCCCCTCGAAATACTCACGGTCCTGCGAAGAAAGAATGGTTCCCGAATCTGGGGCGAGCAAACCCCAGAGGAGTCAGAAAACTCCCAGCAAGCATGTAAAATGAGGAAATTGTGCTCGTGTAAGTGTATGTGACAAGTATAAATAAAAATATGAAATCTAAATTCGAGGTGAAATAAGAAAAATACTCATCATAAATATCAAACAAAGTCTACCACAAGGCACATAAATATATTATTTTAATTTATATGTTATTTGAATTAGAGGAGAATGATATCATGTATATAAATCGGCTTTCCCGTAAAACATCCCGGGAATACGGCGACAAGTATTGTATTGACCATTGGCCTTATCATTTATCAAATCAGTATGTACAGGCCT